ACCTACTGACCGATAAGACTCCGACGGGCCTGGAAAGGTTTCATTACTTCCAAGTCAAAACCTACTACAATGCCAAACAGGAGAGACGCCTTTTCCACAGGTCGCTTACGGGTTTTGAGAAACACTGCGAGACTGGGATGCAGATCCCCCGTGGGATCACGAACCTCTACACAATGCTCAGGACGGCAGTCCCGCTGGAACCTGCGAGACACGCAGTGCGCTGGGAAGGAGCGACGGGCATAGAACTCACTGACGCCCAGTGGACTGAAATATACATTCTGACGCACCAAAGCTCCATGTGCTCCAAATTACAGGAGCTAAACTACAAACTGCTCATCGGATGGTACCGCACCCCAGAACGCTTACACCGCATGCTACCAGATGTCCCGGACACATGTTGGAGATGTGCACAACGGAGGGGCATAGACCTCCATATATGGTGGACTTGTGAAAAAATAACCCCATTCTGGCGTGAGGTCCACGGGGCGATCAGAGAGGTCCAGGACACCGACCTCCCGTTTCAGCCGCTTCCGATGCTTCTTCACCACACTCAGACACCTCTCTCACAGTATAAAAAATCACTGACCAAACAACTCCTTAACGCAGCAAAACTCCTGATGGCAGATGGAAGTCAACACAGATTCCCACACTCCAACAATGGATGGAAGTCGAAGAACTGCACGAGATGGAGAGACTCACGGCAACCATACGAGATGAAATGGAGAGATATCAACAGTGCTGGACTCCCTGGATTCTCTACCTGGCAGGACGATAGGGAGACTGCGTGGGGCCCTGCCCTGGGGGTGCCGGCTGCATCTGCGGGGGCGCGGGACGGTGGAGGGTAGAGCCCCCCTTATGAGCCTCAAAATAATCAGATGAAGAGACCACATCAAACACACATGGAATAAAGCGGGGGCGCACAGCTCTGACAAACAGTACTGCACATTTTTAACCTAAAATAGCCAGGCTTTACCAAGCCAAACATATCGCACCGTTCATGACATAATGTATGCCTAACAATGTGGTATAACTGCCCTAGACAGGAGTATATATTGATACCAGCAGAGGGCCATCTCAGTTGTAATTATTGTTGAACTACATATGTTCTAAATGTACTATGTCTGTCATATCTGAAAAATGTCAATAAAAACAAAATATATATATAAAAAAATTGATCAAATGTTAAAAGGGAATTCCCTGAAAAAAATTGTCCAAATTATAAATATAATGGGAGTGAAAAAAACTTAGATCTAGAGGGGATAAGTAATAATTTAAAATGGATAATGGCATTGCTCGTGATAAACTGGAGGAAGGTCTAACACTACTAAAAATAATATCCCACGCCTTGAGGGTAACCTTGGTTGAAGGAAACATGTGTTTTGCCTTAGGGCGTCTGTTTTAATGCAGCCATAACACCCCTGCCTTGTCCAATTTGTCAAAGGAAAGCTATCAGATAGTAAACCAGATGCAGAGACCCTTGCTGTGGGATGACCATACAAAGCAAATTCAGCTGAAATAAACGGTGTAGGGATATTACATTTTCCATAACATTTCTCAAATAGTCCCAGTGGATCCTATTGAACGCCTTCCCTGCATCTAAAGAAAGGAACAGAGAACGCACACATGACTCTTTAATTTGATGTATTACGTTGATGAATCGCCTGGTTCCATCTGGGACTTGTCTACCATGTACAAATCCGACTTGATCTCTGTTGAACATAAAGGGGTAATATTTGCTCACCTATTAGCCAGAATCTTAGCATGTAATTTGGTGTCGTTGTTAATCAATTAAATTGGCCTGAAATTCGTACATTTGTTTGGACTCTTACCTGGCTTTGGTAAGATGACTATCTGCGTACATAAAGCCTCCTCTGACATCTTTCCCTCAGACAAGAATGTATTAAACAACCTAGTTAAATATGGGGCTTGTGAAAGAATTTACTTTGATTCCAAGGTTCAAGCTTATAGGTTTCATATTAGATATCCTATATTAAAATTGGCTAACTTGGACTCAGGAAATGCTTAAAACGACACTTAAGACCATATATGTCTAGTTCCGGGAGCAGATGGCCCCCACCTGAGCAGTCTCTCCTAAATCTCCTCTCCTGTTCTTTCTCTTTCTCTGAACTTATGTTATATGTACATGATGTTCATCCCTATGTCTTATCTGTACTCCTTTCACCCTTTCACTCCCTTCCTAATACTGTCCTATGAGTATTTGCTCGTAAACACTTTTTAATGTATAAAAACACAACTGACAAAATAAAGGTCAGAGGCTTATTTTGAATACCAACAGGTGTCTGATGTCTAATTCACGCTCCTCCAAGTATACATGAAGTAATAATTTGGGCTCCCGTGAATATACCAAAGATCACATTGGATCTATATCAGGGTAGAATATCAAAATATGTCTTGTAGTACGCCATTGAAAACCTGTCAGGACCAAGCGCCTTACCAGTAGGGTTGTTTTTAATCGCCTCCAACACCTGTGTTATTTTAATGTCGCAATTTAGAAAGTCCAATTTTTCTTGAGATATGTGAGGTAAATAAATTTTATCCAAAAATGTTTGTATTTTTTCCTGTGTTGGTTGAATAATGTCTGAATTAGAATTTAGATTATATAATGATTTATAGTAAGTGGCAAACAGATTACTGATCCTGACAGGATTAGTAATTTTTTTTTTTTACCATTGTCATTTAATACGTATTAAATTCTAGATTGTGACAATCTGTGTCTACGTTTTGATGCCAGAAGAGATGAGGCTTTGTTGTCTTTTAGATAAAATGTTTGTTTGAGGTGTCTCATCATAAAGTAAGTGTATTCCAAATTAATCTGATTGATTTTTATTTTGGTATCTGCTGTCATTGCTGACAATGCAGCAGATGGGACAAATTTATTTGCTTGATTTAAAGTATATAGCTATTTTTCAAGTGTTTTCAGATTGTTAATTTTAGCCTTCTTCAGATAAGACACCCTTTGTATGAAATGCCCTCGCAAAACAGCCTTGTGCGCATTCCAGATCACCCCATCAGGAACCTCAGAACTATTGTTGTCATCAAAGTAGTTTTTTAATAAAGTCTATGCATGAAGTTTACTCTCTGGATTCAAAACTAAATAGTCATCCAATACCCGATTTGGAGTCAAAGAGGAAGATTCATCTAGGTGTAGTACTATAGGAGTGTTGTCTAACCATCCAATATATCAGATCTCAAGACGTGCAGTACTGTAGCCTCGTTCACCATTAATTCATCCGAGAGTACATATTATACTGTACTGGGTAATTACATAGTTACATAGCTGAAAAGAGACTTGCGTCCATCAATTCAGCCTTCCTCACATATGTTGTTGCTGTTGATCCAAAAGCAGGCAAAAAACCTAGTCTGAAGCACTTCCAATTTTGCCACAAACTAGGAAAAAATTCCTTCTTGACCCCAAAATAGCAGTCAGATGTCTCCTTGGATCAAGCAGCTATTACCCCACTAATTAGAAATTATATCCCTGTATGTTATGTTTTTGTAAGTATTTATCCAATTGCAGTTTAAACATCTGTAGTGACTCTGACAAAACCACCTCTTCAGGCAGAGAATTCCATATCCTTATTGCTCTTACTGTAAAAAAACCTTTTCTTTGCCTTAGATGAAATCTCTTTTCTTCCAGGCTAAATGTGTGACCTCGTGTCCTATGTATAGCACTGTTTATGAATAGATTTCCAGGTAAAGGTTTGTACTGGCCCCGAATATATTTGTATAAAGTTTATCATACCCCTCTCAGGCACCGTTTTTCCAAACTAAACAGATTTATTTTTTTAACCTTTCTTCATAACTAAAATGCTCCATTCCTTTTATCAATTTTCTAGCTCGTCTCTGGACTTTTTCTTTTTCATATCTTTCTTTAGAGCAGGCGCCCAAAATTGCACAGCATATTCAAGGTTTAGTCTTACCAGCAATTTATAAAGAGGCAAAATTATATTTTCATCCCGAGAATTTATGCCCCTATTTATACATGACAAAACCTTACTGGCCTTAGCAACTGCAGATTGACAATGCATATTGCTGCCTAATTTGTTGTGTATAACAATTCCCAATTCCTTCTCGTGTGTGGGTATTCCTAATTCACTACCATTTAGTGTGTAAGTTGCTTGTGCATTCTTAACCCCGAAGTGCATAACTTTGCATTTCTCTACGTTAAATTTCATCTGCAATTTTAGTGCCCAGTCCCCCAATCTATCCAAATCCCTATGCAGCAAAGCAATATCCTGCTCACATTTTATTACTTTACAAAGTTTTGTGTCATCTGCAAACACTGATACGTGGCTTTCAATGCCTATTTCAAGATCATTTATAAATATGTTAAATAGAAGTGGTCCCAAAACAGAACCCTGAGGGACACCACTTACCACTTTTGTCCAGCCTGAAAATTTATCATTAATTACAACTCGTTGTACTCTATCCTTAAGCCAATGTTCTACCCAAGAACAAGAATATTCATCTAGACCAATTTCTTTTAGTTTGAAGACTAACCTATTGAGGAACCGTATCAAATGCCTTGGCAAAATCCAAGTAGATCACATCCACTGCAACACCCTGATCTATACTTCTACTTACTTCTTCGTAGAACGCAATTAGGTTAGTTTGACATGACCTATGTTTCATAAAACCATGCAGATTATTGCCAATGAAGTTCTTCCCAATGAATTCCTGAATATTATCCCTTAATAGCCTTTCAAATATTTTCCCAGTTACAGAAGTTAAGCTCACAGGTCTATAATAGGTCAAATCCTTTTCATCTGAATGGACCATGCATTGTACAAACCATGAGCAAGCATTAATTTTCAACAGAATTTAGCTAACTCCGCACGCTCATTCCCTTTTGAGATAATATCCCTTTCTCTCACCATATCTAACTCACTATCTAATATAAAATTAGTATCTATACATATAACTAATCTAACTGCACCCTTCTCATAACACTAAAAGCGTTGATATAGATATACAAAAGATTGACAATTCTTTACAAATTTGTTTACTACATTTCAACAGCTTTTACATTTTTAATTTTGCGTCTATGGGAACAGCAGGGTAAATCTGTGCCTTTTCTGACGGCAATGGGAATAACTCATTTTCCTTCTACACTCCGGGATGTAGCAAATCCAATACGATTATTACGTCTGTCAAATTCAGTGTAATATTGACCTATGAAGGTGGCCCCAAGAATCCACAGAGGCCCTGTAGGAGGAGGGATATCCAATGCAGAGAATGTTACAGAACAGACTTCTTCTCCAAACTGGGATTGCTGAAAAAAACCCAAAAAACAGAAATTATTCATATGCTTCAGAATTTGGAGACTCATTTGCATTTTACTGTGCAATAGCTCTTATATATCATCTAATAAACAGTGCGGCTTCAAATGGTAAAGTCACATAAATATAATACTCTTCATTTCAATTAAGCACAGTGTTTCACCATAAGAGCACATCTTTCCACCACCAAAACAAGCGAGGAAGTAGGCATCCAGATGGCTCTCAAATAAAATAAGTTAATAGGTTAAACAGCTTTATTTCATGTGAGAAGGGCACTCTTTTCCATCGTTACTTGTCTGTATGAACTGGGCCAGGTTTAAATGTCATGTGCCTGTAAGTAGAAAATCCTAAGGGTTAAATGTGTTTGCATATATCTGTTTTTGTATTATTATATTTAATTATAGAGCGCCAACAAATTCCGCAGCCCTGTACAATAGGTGGACTATCCGTATTTGCAAAAAGACGAGATGGATGCACAGAAACAGAGGTTGTTGAAGGCCTTGCTCAAACAAGCATACATTCAAGGGAGAGTCCGTTAAGATACACAAGATGTAAGGGAAGGACGTGTTTCATGTACGTGAAAAGTAGCTTGCTAGAATGGTTTACAATGAAGACTTAGTTTTTTTAGATGGCACAGTTGCAGTAGAGGTGGGTGGGGTTAACAAGGTGTGGTAAGGGAAAGCTATTAATGGTTTATATTGGCAGTTTATATTGGCAACCCCCCCTCCAAAAAATTAGTATTTCATAAAGATTGATATATTTTCACTGAAATCACAACCAAGTTAAGCAGTACTGAGACAAAGTCTCTATAAATTTCCCACGCCTGACACTTCTGGACAGCGGTAGCTCTGCCCAATGTCTAGAAGTGTCAATCAGGAAATTGGTTCTGTCTATGGAGGATCTCACTGTATGTAATGGAGCATTGAAACAGTGCAGCTATAGAGAAATCTTGAAGGTGGTGGGCGTTAGAGGACTGAGACACAGGCCCTCGGCAGAGCGTAGGGGCTTGGATGGTGACATACTTGTGTATTGGTGAGGAAAGCTAAGTTGGAGCAGTGTTATGTATAGATTTGTAAGCAAGTACCAGACTTTTAAATTGAGACCTATATCTTACGGGAAGCCGTGTACTGGCATAGAGGGGAGGTGTGGGAGGTGCAGTTTGAAAGTTGAGCCTCGCCACAGCATTTATTATAAACTCTAGCAGGGCAAGCTGAGAATGTGTTAAGACCATTAAGAAGTGGATAGCATTAGCCAGAGAGAGTATAGCTGCAAGGACTAGCACCTTAACCACATCTGGCATTAGATAGGGGTGTATGCAAACGTTTTTGAGATGTTAACTGATTTGACAGTTGACTGGATATGGGGGGTAAGGGGAAGTTCTAGGCAGCTAGCCAGTGAGGTAGAGCTGATGGTAGGGAAACAGACATGGTGATAGCAATGCTTGAGGAAGTAAAGATGTGAAGTTGTTTTGGACAGGTTGAGTAAAAGAAAGTGAACAGCCATCTAAGTAGAAGTAGCAGAGCAGCAGAACTGGGCACGAATAAAGCGGAATAGTGAGAGATCAGGAGAGGACAGGTAGATTTGTGTGTCATCTGTATAGAAGTGATATTGGAAGCTAAAGTTGCTGATAAGTTGCCAAGGGATGCAGTATAGATTGAACATAGTAAGGGACCAAGGACAGAACTTGGGTAACACTAACAGAGAGGGATGGCGGAGAAGCCAGAAGAGGAAACACTGAAAAAGCACTGGGAGAGGTAGGAGGACACACAGATTACGGAGGATGAGTAGAAGTTGTTGATAATCAACAGCAGAAAGGTCAAGGAGAATTAAAAAAGAACAGTGACCACTGGATTTAGGTGCGAGTAAGTAATTGGTTACTTTGGTCAAAGTCAATTCAACAGAGTGACAAGTGTGGAATCCAAACTAAAGCGGGTCAAGCAGAGGGTTAGAATCAAGGAATTCAGTACATTTTTCGTATACAACTCTCTCAAGGATCTTGCAGTATTATTTCACCATTATTCTTGCACTTTATTATATAAATAAGCGCTCCACTGTGTTATTTTTTTCATATTATTGTAACTAACACAATTTTGAAAGCTTGCTCACGAACCACATTTTCTCTACTTTAACTTTAAATACAAGGTTATTCTTAATAACAATAAAAGATAACTAAACAATAAGTAATGGCAATAATTGAGTCAAACATACCTGCAGGATGTATGCTGGCCCTTTGAGAGTGTACTTTTTCCCCCCCATATGGAACGATATGTCAGGGAGCTGGGAAACTTTATCACAGTCCACAATATACTGAGGGAAAAATAAAGCAAGTGAGATACATGTTTTGAAATGTAGTATTGAATTGAACACTGAGCTCCAGAAATACTTTATCTGAAAGGGATGCCTTCTGTCCTTACGATGTTAAACTGGTTTTTTTTTAAAAAAAAGTTGTCCAGGAGCTTTGCTTCTGTTAGTCTACCTTAGGGCCCCCAGTCTATCACTAACCTCCAATAATTATTATTATTTATAAAGCTCCAACAAATCCCGCAGTGCTGTACAACAGGTGGACTAACAGACCATTGATAAGACCACTCGAGAAAGTATGGTATGTAAAAAATGTAACCTTCATTCAGGTAAGATGGCACCCAGTACCTCCAGGTGCTAATGCTATAATACCTCAATTGAGATGAAGTTGTTATTGTTCCTGTGGTAGAGGGCTGCATTATATATATTTTCCACATCACACAAATTTGTTTTGAAAACTGTTTTTGTAAAGTGAAGCCTGAAGCCTGAAGCCTGAAGCCTGCTGTCTATTTCCAGAAAATCCATTGTAGGAATGACACATAAATCAGCACTAAATTAAGTTAGTGTATTAATTATATTAAACAAAAAAACATACGTAGTGAAAATGTAGACTTTTATCTCTATTAAGGTAATTTTATAAGGTCCAAATGTATTTTGTAGAATTTAGAAAATACGGTCTTAATGGTGACATATCTAACTTCCTAGGGCCCATGGATTAGATAGGGGGCCATTGGAACCATGAAATAGTTTGGCCCCTGTTCACCAACTCTATGTGAAGAATGAAGGAAGACCCCAACCCTGGTTACCTGCCTATGGTTATGTGGAGTTCTTTATCTTTTTTTCTATACATAACAGTTCACCTTATTTTGTCTTTAATTGTATTTATTTTCATTTCCCCATTGTATGCCCAAGTGCTGATAAATATATTGGGGTTATATAAATTGTAATATGATGGTTAAATAAAGGTTTGACTGTCCTATAGCATTCTTGAACACATATGTTCACAAGTTGATATATAGTGACACCTATAGGTGGTCTTCAGTACTTTCTCATTTTACCTTCTGGTATGTTACTATGAATATAATGTTCTAGTCCCGTGCTTATCACATCCTGGTTGCCATGACTACTACCATTTTTGGCATGGCGTCTGGGTGTTTGTCCGCCCGTTCAGCACAGCACCGATGACTGCAGGTGCAGTAGCAGAATTGCAGGGGTCGCTGAGTTCACAAGTGCACACAGTCCCTCTGTGTTCCACCTGTCAGTTGGGGCCCCAGAACTGGCCCCTTAGGGCCTCCCTAAGGCAGGCTGCTGTGAGCAGTAGTGGCTGGCAGTAAAGGACCTGTAATATTCATGCTCTTCTCCTTCGCCTCCTGCTGTGATGCTGGTAGCCGGGATATGGCGTCACTCTGGCTCTGCCATCACTAAACAGCAGTACAAGAAGAGCTTGAAGATCACAGGATCATAGCAGCCACATTGGACCCCAGGTCGAGGTAGGGTTGACGTAAATTAAAATAAAACAAATAATTTGTGATTATGTGAGAGAATGTGTGTGTGTCTGTCAGTGTCAGAGTGTGTGAGAGTATCTGCATAGTTAAATGCCCATGGTCTGGTTCTAGTCTTCTTTATGTGCAAATTTAAAGGAACAATATAGCGTCAGGAATACAAATATGTATTTTTGACACTACAGTGTGAAACAAATTATTTACGTGACAGCCCCCCTCCCGATCACATAGGAAAGGTGTTTTTACACACATTTATTCCCATGATGCGCCAGTCTTACTGTATTGATGGTCTTCCAATAGGCTGTACCAATCAGTATCTCCTCATAGAGATGCATTGGATCAGTGCATCTCTGTGGGAAACGTTCAGCGCCTATATGTAGAGCACTGGACTAGGAAGCACCTCTAGTGGCTATAGACACCAGAACCACTACATTGAGTTGTAGTGGTTCTGGTGACTATAGTGTCCCTTTTATCTGTTATTTTTGTCGTTGAAAAAAAAGCAAAAAAAAAACCTGGCTCCTAACTTTAGCTGGCTCCTAGATTCAAAGCAAATTTGTCAAGCCATGTCCTAATCATTCTGTGTAATAAGTAAACAAAAAATAAAGGTACTCTGCAGTAAATCCAGGTGGTTTATTAAGCCATCAAAGTGAAAGGGTAATGTTTCGACATGTATATGGATTTTTCTTAAGCTTATACATCGAAACATTGCCCTTTTATTTTTTTTCCACACACTATCGACTTGTCAATCTGTGTAATAGCCACTACCAATATAACCAATATTGTTACCTGTCCTTCTGCTAATTCCGTGGCACCGATAGCTTTCATAAGAACTGACACAGAACCAGCAGGACCTGTTATGTAAGATGCTCCTGTGTCTATTGCTGCCAAGCACCCATCCTTGCAGAACAGGAGATCTGCCCCAACAGACACCCTGTTAAAGGAAACCATGTCATAAGAATAAAGGAGCAAAGCAAATGGGCATTTTTAATATTACTAGTTTGTTTTAATTAGAAACATAGAAACATAGAATGTGACGGCAGATAAGAACCATTCGGCCCATCTAGTCTGCCCAATTTTCTAAATACTTTCATTAGTCCTTAGTCTTATCTTATAGTTAGGATAGCCTTATGCCTATCCCACGCATGCTTAAACTCCTTTACTGTGTTAACCTCTACCACTTCAATTCTTTTGTTTAGGAGGGAAGCTATAATGTGCAGTAGATTTTATAGTTTTGTAGTAAACAAAAACAAAATAAATTTAAAATAAATAATAAAACAAACATATATATGCTGCTGGGAATGTTATGTAATTTTCAGCAGGATTGTATGCAAATATGTGGAGATGTTACTATTTCTCACCCCTTCATACTGATTTGCCAGTATCCTTTCTTTTCGAGTTCAAGATAGTCAAAGCTTCCTGTGTAATATTCAGAGTCTGAACCACCCAGGATGATCTCTCCACCTTTCATCAAGTGGATATCCCTGCAGGTAGATGGAGAGAGAAACTGTGTGTAAAGGACATGCCAATGCGACTTACCTAAGTCCTGAAGTGACTTTTGAGATTGTTCTTTTATTTGCATTCATAACTAATATATGTCTTCTGTTTTAGTATAATCATTTGGTAGATGGCATAGTAATAATAATACTATGATTATGAACGTTATTCCAACGCTCAACAAATGCCAGCAGCATTCAAGAGAGATCAAAAGATCTCCTTTGACATATTCTAATAGGCTTCTCTGCAGCTTCAGGGTTCCCATGTGGTCAGGGCCAGTGCAAGGATTTTTTGCTATACAGGCGAAGATGCATTTTGCTGCCACCCTCCCCCTATGTTTATTCTCCTCACTCTTTAACCTGCAGTTTTCAACACCATTGAACAATACCCGTACCATTCACCTCAATTCCTATAATGTGGCTGATCTGATAGCCCTTAAAGGGTTACTCCAAACACCATGACCGTGATTTGAAATGGCCATGGTGGTAGGAGTCAGTATGTGCAGTGTTTTAGCTTGGATTTTTGGAATTGTGTGATGGGGGCTAGTTGTACCCCAAGCACACATGACATTGGAAGCCCAGAATTCTGCTCAGTGCTGCTAATGTCAATTCTGTGCATAAAATACATCTGTGGTCAGCACGCACTGCACGCTGCCAACAAATGTAATATTATTCCCCTTACAGGCAGAATGCCTGTGGAAGATTACTATACCCTCCCACCCTCCTGACTCTCTCTGTTGCACATTATCTTTTAGTTTTTTTTTTTTAACCTTTAACGCTGCTTTTTGTCCCTCTCAGACTTTAAATCCACATGACTGACAGCAGTGCTGTGAGAAGAGGAGGTGAGGACATGACATGATGTCAAATCACATTGTCTCTACTGTGTCTAGTTTGTGATGCTGAAGCTGGTCAGAGGGTAAACTCACACACTGCCAAACAAACACAGAAACACAGTAACAATCCTTCCACGCACCCAGATTCCTTTCCTGAAAATGTAATTAAAAAAAACAACACACTAAGTGCCCAGTGAATAATTTTCTATCAACATAGTTTTCTATCCTACTCTTACCTTTTGTGTCACTATACCCCACTCCCTCTAGCATGTAAGCTTATTGAGCAGGGCTCTCAACCCCTCTGTTCTGTGTGTCAAACTTGTCTTGTTATAAATACATGTCTGTTAGTCCTCCAATTGTACAGTGCTATGGAATTTGTTGGCCCTTTATAAATTATAATACTTATACATAGGCTGACAGTCACACAAAGACACACTAACACACATTGACAGTCATCTAAATAATTGAATGTTTTTTTGTTTTGTTTTACCGAAACAGAGTATTCAAGGATATAATTGATATGCATGTGAAAAGGTTGTTGATCCATGGAGAAATGTGAGTCCATAAGGATTTTGTTTGCCTCTTGTGGCAAAATTTGAAATGCATACAGATTGGGTCTTTTGCATTCTTTTGGATCAATAGCATAAAAGAATGGGTTTCCAGGCTGAACTTGATGTACTTTATGTAACTATGTATACACAGTCACACCCTGCAATAGCACCCTTAGGTGGGCACTTTTGCCACCTTCACTTGCGCAGGCCCTGCATGTAGACCTGTGCATCACGCTGGTAATTGTGCAAGGGAGCCCTGAAGCTGTTTCCTCCTTAAAGATGTACAGACAGCCCACACGTCACTAAAGAACAGGAGCTGCGGAGAACCACAACACCTCTGTCAGGTGGCAGTGAGGTTGGAGGGGAGAAGGAATAATCCAGCTGGAAATGTGTATCTTTGCATGCAAATATGAGTGAGTATCTTTTAAATTAAGGGGTGATTGTGGCAAATCATATGGGTGTGTGAAAGAATGGATAGTTAGGTGTGCAAATTATTAGATGGTTGTGTGTTTTTGAGAGTGGCTAGTTATGTGTGTGTCAGTGTGCTGATAATGTGTGGGTATCTGTAAATAGCTAGATGTGTTTTCATGTGAGTAATTGGCTAGTTGTGTATGTGTCATTACTGTGTTATAAAATTTAGTATGGGTGAGTGAAAAAGAGTGTGAATGACTGATTAGGTATATTAGCGCATGGATTCCTAGGTGTGTGATGCCTTATGTAGTGTGTGTGATTCCTTGCATGTTAGGGAAATATAAGCCAAGCATTAAAAAGTGAGTTGTTTTTTAAAGAGAGACTTTTTAGATGCAAATCGTGCTAACATCTGTGCTAGATGGGATATGTTTAGATTACCTGGAAGCTGCATGCAGTACAGCACTAAGATTACCTGGAAGGGAATGGTCTAGGCCAGAATCACCCAAACTAGCTAACTGATAACTGCTGGTAAATCAAGTGAATTTCTCAAGTAAATTATTTTCTCACTTTGGCTATTTTGGCCCTAAATTTGGAATATACTTTAATAAGAATCATTTAGGATATATATCTATATATTTTGTTTAGGTAAATGTGAAGAACAGTAGATTTATTTTCAGACGTGAAGAGTTAGGAAGACATTTTAGAGTATAAAATAAGTTAATACTAAAGGATAGAGCCTTTGTGCTACTACAAGGTGTCCCTAGCCAGCTTTTTTTTACATGTCTCCTCTAATACAGAATTCAGAATAAAAAGCAAACTGTGTATAGGTGTGCTTAAATGGACACTACAGTCACCAGAATAACTACAACTTATTGAATTTGTTCTGGTGAGTAGAATCATTACCTTCAGTCTTTTTGCTGTAAACACTGTCTTTTCAGAGAAAATGCAGTGTTTACATCACAGCCTAGTGATAACTTCACTGGCCACTCCTCAGATGGCTGTTAGAGATTCTTCCTGGGTCATGGCTGCCTAAAATGCATCCAAACATTCAGTGTCTCCTCCCTCTGCATACAGGCACTGAACTTTCCTCATAGAGATTCATTGATTCAATTCATCTCTATGAGGAGATGCTGATTGGCCAGGGCTGTGTTGGAATTGTGCTCGCTCTGCTCCAATCTGCCTCCTTGTCAGTCTCAGCCAATACTATGGGAAGCATTGTGATTGGATCAGGCCACGACCTCTGATGATGTCAGCAGACAGCTCACTATTCTGAGGCAAACAGCATGCAGAGCTACAGCTTCAGGCTTGAATACAAGTAAGATTTTGCTATATTTATGGAGGCATGAGGGGCCAAGGGGTGCTAGAAGGAGGTTTTTCACACTATAGGTTCAGGAATACATGTTTGTGTTCCTGACCCTATAGTGTTCCTTTAAATGCCAAGTACAGAAAAACTGTTTATCGAGTACCGTCTTAACTTAGGGATTTAAACCATTAATGAATGGTTTAACCACAAAGTCTGTACAACAAGACCAGATTGCTCTGCCCCTACACTACCTCTGAAGGTCAGAAATTTCACTCAGAAAACCTTGGGCCGGGAACCACTGATTATTATTATGGTGACTGGAGTGTCCCTTTAATATACATGTGCAATAGCTTTCCTATGGAAAAACATTGTTTTGGCTGAGATCATCAAGATAGATGCTCTCACCTCTGGAGGCAAGGCCAGAAGTGGTGAGACCACTGCGACGTGGGAGAAAAGAGAGGGTTCGGTAACCTAAACAGCCACTTAAAGGAACACTATAGTATCAGGAACACAGATATGTATTCCTGACCTTACTGCTTTAAAAATACGATAACGGCCCTCTGACCTCACCCTTCCTCCACTAAATATAGTAAAATCTTACCTTTATCCAAGTCTGCTGCTGACTGTGACTGTCAAATAAAGCTAATATGCTATCATATATGGCTGACTATTCTAGCTTTTCTAGCTCCGTCAGTCTGTTTCAGGTGCACTCTCCCCATCAGTCCAGTGCTTACAATCACTCTTTCCTCCTTTTCACTTTTTATTATGGATAAGCAATTCTACAAGCGTATTCTTAAGCTTATATAACCTAATCATCTTATCTAAAGATAGGAAGACGTAAAACTATGTAAAAATGTTATAGATTGTAGAATATAGGTGGAAGCAAAATTATGATGAGTGTAGGGGAAAATATCTATTTTATTGTAGAAAGCCAATCTAGCTATATGTGTGTAAAGTTATCAATTAGGTTGTATTGTGGTTTAGAGAATGATCAGAGAAGAGAGGGTTTATATAGGTGTAATGAAGTGAGTGGGGGTAGTGTATGTCCGAACGATAGGAATCTGTTACCACACAGGGCACCATGATAATGGGAGTGACGTCGGTGGGGAGGGTTTGGGGACTTATCTTCTCACTTGTAACGTCTGCAAAGAAAGGAGATCCTGGTTACTCAAGCTGTGACAATATAGAGACAGTCTATAAACTGTGATGGAATGAAAGGGAGGTTATTCCAAAGTATTGTTAGCTAAGCAAGTGGCAGATTTTTTTTTCTCATTGGTTATGGAAATGTTAAAGGGACACTATAGTTACCAGAACAACTACAGCTTATTGAATTTGTTTTGGTGAGTAGAATCACTACCTTCAGGCTTTTTGCTGTAAACACTGTCATTTCAGAGAAAATGCAGTGTTTACATTACAGCCTAGTAATAACTTCACTGGTCACTCCTCAGATGACTGTTAGAGATCCTTCCTGGGTCATGACTGCCTAAAATGCATCCAAACATTCAGTGTCTCCTCCCTCTGCATGCAGACACTGAACTTTCCTCATAGAGATTCATTGATTCAATTCATCTCTATGAGGAGATGCTGATTGGCCAGGGCTGTGTTTGAATCATGCTGGCTCTGCCCCTGATCTGCCTCCTTGTCAGTCTCAACCAATCCTATGGGGAAGCATTGTGATTGGATCAGGCTACCACATGTGAGCAGACTGCTTGTTTTTCTGAGTCTAACAGCATGCAGAGTTACAGCTTCAGGTTTGAATACAGCAAGATTTTACTATATTTATGGAGGCATGAGGGGCCCAGGGGGGCTAGGTGGTGGTGTTAACACTATAGGGTCAGGAATACATATTTGTGTTCCTGACCCTATAGTGATCCTTTAAATATCTAGAGTGAATTAGGCATGCTGTAATTTGGAGTGCTGTTCTGCAAAGGTCTCTGTGTCATATTGATTGTCCTATATCTAAACTGTGTGTCCCTAGCATTCATTATAATGTATGTATTTGTCATCCTGTTTGTTCCCCATTCCCCCTCACCGGTTGTAATACACAGAAAAGACTTCCTCCTCTAGAACTCCCTCAGACACGATTTGGTCAAAGACTGGGGTAATTCCATCAATAGCTTGGTTTGGGAATCCCATTCCCAACACCCCATCAAAGCGTGCAAATATAAAGGGCAATGCAGGGAGGGCAGTGGCTTCGGCAAAAACCTGGATCACCGGAATTTCTGCAACCTGAAATAGAATAGAGAGATTGAGATGTAAGGAGAGGGAACAAAAGAACATACTTATATGGGTGGAATGAAGTTTAGGAGAAGAGTCAGTTATTTTAAAATAAAGTGAAGATTGAATGAACCCTACATATAAATGATATGCGTAGTATCAATAAAAGATGTTTTTTTAGGATTTATGCCTTGTCCAGAAGATGAAAAAAATAGTAAAGTTATATTGATTATTTTGTATTAACAAATATATATTTAGAACGGTACATTATAAATAACAGAGGCTTCTGTTAGTAAAAGATATATAGCAAATAGCAACTGTCAGTGTTAAATGTGAACTGTAGCCTTAGCACTATCTTTTATAATAATGATTCTTTCATCAAGTTTTGAAAGGAAATGGATTCTTTGTTAAATAAAGATGTAAAAAAATATATATATGAGAAAAACTCATCCGTAACTTTACTATATGACAGAATCCTTCATACATATACAAGCACCTTGCGTCAGACAGTGTTTGAAAACCTCTGGCATCAGGGGTGCCCAAAAGGTAGATACCCATTTAAAATGCATTCCAAATGCATTCAGAGCATCACGAGACCTTTAATTCTACAACATCTGGGGATCTACCTTTTGGGCAACCCAGATCTTTATAGTCTCTATCATTCTTCTCTCCACTCCCTGCACAGTGCAGTTACATCATCAGATCGATTAACTGTCAAATACAAGCAGTGTCTGACCCAAGGTGCATGTATATGGCTGAAGCACTCTGCCATTTTCCAAAGACAGGGTTGAGATTTACTCATTTAAAAAAAAAAAAAAAAGTATTTCACTTATAAATCATTTAACACAATCTATTTCATTTCAAAACTGGAAACAGGGTAATTATATCAAAAATTAGGGTTGAGGTGACAGTTGTACTTTAAATGCCCCATGTGCTTCACAGACATCTATCTGTAAATTTTAGTTATGCTTGATGAAAGAACTTTTTAGCAAGATTCTAATGGACGCACATAATATTTGTTAGTGGTAATCATAGGATTTAGATCAAAACCAAAGAAGAAAACTAGAATAGTGTCAGAAGCAGGTGAATATATGACTCCAACATTCCAAATGGACAAAGAGGGACACTTTCAATTTATGGGGTGTAGGTGAGAGTGTGACCAACAATGGGGCTGTTCTGAGAAATTTTAGGTGACTAGTAACAATTTATGCAACTAACATGTAATTTAGAAATAGAACAATGTATCTTATGTACACAGACTGATTTCTAAACACAAATAGCAATATTCGATCTGCTACAGATTTCTAAATGCATTTATTGTAATAGAGACTCATTACTGTGACACATTACTGTGAGTATTATTGCTGTGGTGCTCTCTTATACACTTAGACAAACTAACAATAAGGAGCTCTTACAAAGAGGCATTATCATAGAGAAGAGAGACAACAGGATTTGGGCCCAAATAGGGACACTTGGGAAGTATGGGATCATAGAAAGAATAAGATATTAGGGCAAGCTGTCATTTATTACTTAATCTGCCAAGTGTTGAGGCCTCGGACATCCTACATTACATTCTACACTTCTCTATGATCTAGCTCACAAACAAATACTATATATGATAATAATGTTTATTCTTGGATTGAAAAATGCAAAGTGTGTGTTAATGGAAAATGGTAAAGTTTAAAAACATTCTTAAAGGCACACTATAGTCACCATAACAACTACAACTTAATGTCCTTCTGGCATTTTAGTGTAAATACATTACTGCCTAGGGACACCACTAGTGGCCGTCACTTTGACAGCCACTAGGGGTGCTTCCTCGGTCAGTGCTGGACAATGTGCAGCACTGACGCTCAGTGTCTTCACGCTTTGAATGGAGGAGCTGAACGCTCCCCATTGAGATGCATTTATGAGAAGATGCTGATTCGCTCAATGTTTTGCCGTGCCTCCCGATGCTATCTAATGGGAAATTGGACACTGATGAACTAAGCCAAGGAGGCGGATCAGGGCAGAGCTAGCACCAGTGAACCCATGCTGCGCTGGAATAAAGGTAAGTTTATAACCTTTTGAAAGGGGGCTGGGACCTAAACTATGTTTTTAACACTATAGGGTCTGTAATACACGTTTGCATTCCTGACCCTATAGTGTACCTTTAACCTTCTTAACCTTGGGAACCTTAAAGAGACACTATAGTCACCAGAACAACTACAGCTTATTGAATTTGTGAGTAGAATCATTACCTTCAGGCTTTTTGCTGTAAACACTGTCTTTTCAGAGAAAATGCAGTGTTTACATTACAGCCTAGTGAGAACTTCACTGGCCACTCCTCAGATAGCTGTTAGAGATTCTTCCGGGGTCATGGCTGCCTAAAATGCATCCAAACATTCAGTGTCTCCTCCCTCTGCATGCAGACACTGAACTTTCCTCGTTGAGATTCATTGATTCAATTCATCTCTATGAGAAGATGCTGATTGGCCAGCGCTGTGTTTGAATTGTGCTGGCTCTGCCCATGATCTCCCTCTTTGCCAGTCCCAGCCAATCCTATGGGGAAGCATTGTGATTAGATCAGGCTACCACTTCTGATAATGTCAGCAGACAGCTGAGGCAAACAGCATGCAGATCTACAGCTTCAGGCTTGAATACAGTAAGATTTTGCTATATTTATGGGACCCAGGGGGCTAGATGGTGGTTTTAACATTATAGGGTCAGGAATAAATGTTTGTGTTCCTGACCCTATAGTGATCCTTTAAGATACAATGGTTGGCACCATTTTCAAAGAAGGATATTATAGACTAAAAAAAGAGGAATGTAAAATTGTTATGCAGAGAGATCACATTATACAAATAAAACAGGGGAAGTTCAAACAGCTTTCCACTAATCTTTCCACTTCAAAGGTTGTCATCATATTAGATGAAAGTAAGGATATTACTCTTAATGTTTAGAAAACAGACTCTTTAGTACATTATGAACTTTACAGATGTGGAATTGTTTGTTGAGAGAGGTTGTTTACATATTAAATATATATCTTTAAAAATGTGTAGTGATTTGTTAGGCAAAACTGGATATTCACGGCTATGAATACTAATAAGCAGGGTATTCACAGTCTCTTGATCCGGTCAAATATCCAATCTCTACATTGTGTCATGCTGTCCCTGTATCTATGAGTCACTTTTGTTTCTGTCTCTGCAGTCCTAGCCACACCTCTCTGTAGCCCTTTCTCACAGCAGCATGAAAAAATAAAATTGTTTCATTTTTAATCAGATGTTAAAGGACCACTATAGTGCCAGGAAAACATATTCGTTTTCCTGGCACTATAGTGCCCTGAGGGTGCCCCCACCCTCAGGGTCCCCCTCCCGCCCGGCTCTGGAAAGGGGAAAAGGGTTAAAACTTACCTTTTTCCAGCGCTGGGCGGGGAGCTCTCTGCCTCCTCTCCTCCTCCGATCCGCCCCTTCGGCTGAATGCGCACGCGTGGCAAGAGCTGCGCGCGCATTCAACCGGTCGCATAGGAAAGCATTCATAATGCTTTCCTATGGACGCTGGCGTGCTCTCACTGTGATTTTCACAGTGAGAAGCATGCAAGCGCCTCTAGCAGCTGTCAATGAGACAGCCGCTAGAGGCTTTGGGGGAAGGCTTAACCCATTGATAAACATAGCAGTTTCTCTGAAACTACTATGTTTATAAAACAATGGGTTAACCCTAGAAGGACCTGGCACCCAGACCACTTCATTAAGCTGAAGTGGTCTGGGGGCCTAGAGTGGTCCTTTAACTTGCTTTAGACATTTGTATCACCTTATCTGTAAATTGAACTTTAATCATACACAGGAAGCTCCTGCAAGTTCTAACAAACCTTAACTGTACAGGAGATAAGAAATTCTAAATTAAGACTGTTTAGTAAAGGACGTTAACATTAGATCTCACTTTACAGGACGTGTTTAGGAAGGCTGTGCACATGCATGTGTTAAATGCAGGGAGCTGTGGCTTGGGCTGCATAAACAATTTGTTTATGTTTGTTTATGTTAAACAGTAATTTGACTGCTAAATGGCAGAGAATTGAGCAGTGATACTGCAAGGACATGATTTGTAAACCAAAACTGCTTTATTAAGCTAAATTTGTTCTGGTGACTAGTGTCCCTTTAAGGGGCCTACTACAAACACTGCAACATCACCCAAGTTAGGCATAGTGATTTGCGAGTTATTATACTGCCTCTTATTGACAAATTCTTTAATTGGAAAGCTAAAAAATATGAATGCGGATTAGTTAAATGTAATAGTTTAATCACAGGTTAACCTACAGAGAGCAGTTTTACCATAGCGTTAACTTTAAAGACACATTAACAAGAGAGATTGATACTGTACTAGCTTGCTCCCGGCAATAAACAGCAAAGGAGAAAATCTCTACTTTTAGTATAAAAACTCCTAGCAGGGAGAATGTTAGACTGATGCAGTCCTCACTTACAATGACAAGGTCCTGGCTCAGGAATCCCTTCACTCCCCCAGATCCATACTGTATGGAGAATCCTGTTCCATTCTTAATATAGGTTTGGGATTTTGAGGAGTCATATTGGTTGTGTGAAACTGCCAGTGAAGAAAAAAATATAACATTGAAATGCAAGAAAGAACATGAATGATTCTTAGTGAAAAAGAAAAACAAAAGTTCAATACAGCAGAAGTTATGCCAATAATAGAACAGACATATGCAATATAATTGCACTGTTTATAAAAACATTCAAGAGGCCTATTTTTATTTTTGTGTATAGCAGTGTTCTGTCTTTTGTGGATTTGGTGCAGGCAGTGGATACCAATGTATTTAACTATTAAAGGGACACTATAGTCACCCAGACCACTTCAGCTCAATGAAGTGGTCTGGTTGCAATGTCCTTCGGGTTTTAACCCTTCAGATGCAAACATAGCAGTTTACATTTGGGGTTAATCCAGCCTCTAGTGGCTGTCTTCCGGACAGAGCGTCCATAGGAAAGCATTCACACTTGCCATGCATGCGCATTCAGCTCCTATGATGTCGGACGGGGGAGCTGACGTCAGAGTGGGAGGAGAGGTCACCAGCGCCGAGGGAACCCGGCGCTGGAATAAGGTAAGGTGCTGAAGGGGTTTTAACCTCTTTTCAGCGCCACTTCATCTTGGCAATAGTTCACTTATGGCCTTCATATAAACACACTACTTACATAAATAGATTTACAACCTGATTATATCTTTATTTTTATCAACAATACAATATTATGGTTTTGTTACTACAGAATAATGGATTAAAGGGTTACTCCAACCTGTGATTTACTAAATGTATTTTTGTTCCGTAATCAGAAAATTCACCAAACCCCACAGTTATCCCAAACTCCTGCAGCCCATGTTTGGGTGTCTGAGGAGACAAAGCACCAAGGGTGTCTGTTTTTAAAGACAGATTAGATCCCTGTGGTGCCCCTATCAGGCATGCACCTGTTGGTAGGTGCCTATTCTGTCTAATGGGAAATCCTGCTCTGGTTTTTTGTTATGGAACCCCCTCCCCACCCCTGTAAAAGAAAAAACTTACCTGCGATTGTGCAAAAGTGGCCAAGTTTTCCCTGCAGTCGGTACTCATCCAGTGATATCACTATCCCCCATTGGAGGGTAGGTACAACCTGGAGGATAGGCTTAGGGAGGAGGACTGTTTCGCCTTTGGGTGTCTCTTGCTATGCTATGATGATATACTTGCTGAATGCTGACAACAGACAGCCAGTATACACAAAAGTAACATTCACCAGGCCAGAACTCTTTGGCAATGACACTGCTAAAGCAGCTACCTCAGATATCTCTGTGGTTCAGTTCAACCTGAAATGCTACACATGTGGAGTCAGTTCTTTAACTGGTTTTCATTTGTAATATACAAGGCTGCCTAAACACAACAAATACTGCATATATTTACATGACCACTAAAGTCACCCAGACCACTTCATCTCCATTAAGTTGCCTGGGTGCCTGGGTCCTCTCATTTTAAACTTTCAATGTAAAATGTCACTGGTGTGTAGAAACAGCAATTTTTTACTTTGAAGGGTTAAATACAACTCTAGTGGCTGTCTTTCTGCCAGCCACAAATGATGCTGCTCCTAGTATGGTGTTTTGCTGCACGTGCGTTTCTCGTCCACCAATACTTCTCTATGAGGCTGCTTCAGCAGAGGTGCCTCAGTGCTGGAAACAAGGTAAGTTATCTTTAGTTAACATTCATTTTTACTAGAAAAGTGTGGTGGACTGTGATCACATTGCTATAAAAAGGGACATGGTAGTCCCCAAAAAATTGTTAATTGAGGAATACAGGTTCTCTTTAACGAATTGCCTTTTAATTTGAATAGTACATTCGAATTAGGAGGAAAATTCTGCTAAGAACAACAAACTGACAAAAAATACCCTTTAACATTGGTTATTATCCCTAAGTTAAATTTGTGAGGAGTAAGGAATTGGTTGAATAGTGTATACATTGCAGTAAATACAATGCTTTGTGTGCATGCTGTGTGCATAACTTACCGCATGCACTGTAAAGTGGAGAGCAGCTGCGGGATGGCACCCACAGATTGGCAGATCCTGTATCAAACACCACTTTGAATGTCTGCGGAGGAGAGCCGATTTTGATCTCCCCAAAATACTGAGTCTGCAGAACCAAGACATAATGTAAAACATAAAATCTAAGTTACTTAATATATTTGTTTTTTTCTGTTACAGATACTTTTAAAACTTACTCAAATCACTAAACCCAGAGATTTCAAAACTTTTTTGTAATTCTGCATATATGAAGTACTCCACATTCCATCGTGCTTACCATACCTGGTACATGGTTTTGGAACCTTTACTCTTATGTCTAATTAAAGTTTAATCAAATTCTCAAAAATGCTACATTCATTAATTAATACACAAGTATTGTTTATGTATTTAAAAGACTGACTGGATTTAAAGTGAATTTTATATGCCAGTATAGTCGAACTGAAAACTCTAAGTCACCTATATATGGCCTAAATTGTTAAATTCACTTCCAGTTTACCTTAAACTCCACTAAATTCACCCTACCGTGTGAAAAGCATTGTGACTAATACAGCACAATCTTTTAAAATGTGCTAGGCAAAACAGTGTGTAGTCTTTATTGCTTAGATAAGGATTCTGCAATTCATTCATTTGCTCAGTACTATAATTATGTAAATTGTGTGATGGGGCTCACATCCAGGTAGTTTGTGAGCTCTGTTGGGGCAGTCTTGTTAGTGAATATTTTGTTCCCAGACGCCATCAACTTCATCTCAGGGAAAACGTCCGTTAATTTCACACCCATGTCCCTCAGTGTCTCACGAATGGAAGGCATCCTCTTGAGTGGTATCCTAGCATAAAAAAAAAATATATGTAATGTTGGCATTTCCGCTATTTAAAATAACATAATGTATAATATTTTAAATTTGAGTTGCTAATATCAGTTATTATCAGTGCAGAACAAATAGATATTTAAAGTCGACAAAGAATTTTAGTGGGCCATTTTTTCTTATGCCATCACAACCTCATCCCTCTCTTTTTACAGCTCCACAACGTCATCCCTCGCTTTTAACTCCTCCACAACCCCACTTCTCTGTTTTACTTTTCTCCAACTCTATCTCTCTCATTTACTCCTCCCCAACATCATCTCTCTCTTTTGCCTTTTTCACAAATCCCCCATGTCCATAGATTCTTCCATAACCCTCTATATCTCATTAGCTAGAAATCTGTCAAGAACAGGACATAATCTAGGATGAGTTGTATTAGTATGTTTATGTCCATCTGAGAGACAAGCTACCTCACATTATTATATAAAATAGGCTCAAAATGTCAGCTGCCCCGCAGGACTTCTTTGGGAGCTGGTTGTTGTAGGCAGACGTAAAGAGATTGACATAGCTTCCTTGAGATTTACATTGAGTAGGGGATTTTGCTGCTTCCAATCAAATGTTACCTCTGTACAACGTACCCATTTATGGCTGTCATAGTTTATTGATCTAGATTCTGTAACATGGGTAGGCAACCTTCAGCACTCCAGATGTCGACAAGCCCTTCAGTTTTCCTATTAACCACATAAGGTAAGATTGCGCCCCAGATCTCCATTGAGATAAGGTTATTTTGGAGGTTGCAGTGTTATTATCATTATAATATACAAGGCCACGTATAACTTTGTCCACAATTAGCTGTTTCCTCCCACTAGGCACCACTGCCATTTATAATGTTTATATCTCTTGATCTCAGGATTGAATCTGTTTTGGCACATATCTATGCAGCATACAGTTTAGTAGATATATCCCAATGAAAACATGCATGCACTTACTAATGCATTTTGGCATAAGGATTATAGCAAAAGGAAAAAAAAGCATGCAGTTCTTCCACTTTTTTCCCCAGCACAGACTGACCAATTATTGATGTGCCAGGAGGAGGAACCAGGAGTTGAGAACAGTGAGGTAGAATGAGCACTCACATGCGCTCCAAACTCTCTGTCTTGGGGCAATGGCAGGGACACTCTATAACAGCCTGCCTGCCACTTCCATTAGCTCAGTAGAGCTAAAATGAGGAGATAGAAAACTTCACTAGCTGTCTGGCAGGTTGGGAGGTGTTTCATAATTTATTTATGAAAGTGCCTATTTCTCACACTTATAAAATGCCATTAAAATGGGATACTTCCAGAAAGTGAACAGAGAAGAGGAGAAATTGAAAAATGTTCTGTTTTTCCTACTCTTTTGCAGTGTTTGCCCTGGCTGTGCCTGGATTGAACTGGTTTGTGATGTAAATTCTAGTTATATAGTTTATTAGTCTGTGGACTTTATAATTCGGAAATGTATTTCGATTCATGCATCCACAAAAAAAAGAGGTTTACTGGACTTGTAAAGAAGTAAACATAGTTTGTAGTATTTCTGTATTGACAAATTAGTAAAGCTACCAGCCTTTTCCGTTTTGGTACTGGTTCTCAATCTGCTGCACACATCAGATTTACTGATGATGACTATTCCTTGTGCTGTCTTTAAGATTTCTACATTGTAATATGTAAAATCTGGACACCAGTGGCATTGCTAGGTTCCAGAAACCTCTGGGGCTTGAATCAAAAGCACAAATTGATGACCACTACACCTTGCAGAAATGATTTATGTGGGAAGAGTGTGTCCAATTTTTTTTCATTTTACAAAAAAAGTGCAGATTTTACTAGAAATTGGCACTTTTGTAAATGATCTGGCTTCACGCTAACAACAAGTCCTGCTACTTCCAGGTTTGGTTAGCTCAGTGGAGCTGAACTCAAAAGGCAGCAATTGCCGAGAAAAACTACCTTGCAAAGATTTCTCATTGAGCTGTATTGGGAAGTCTGTGATTGGACAGCCACAGAAAGTCTGTGTGGGGTTAGAAGGGGAGGGCTTGCAAAGGCAGCAGACAAGCGAACTGCATGTTTTGCAATCTGTTATTAGATATACATTCAATGACAAAAGGCATAATTAAATGCATGCATGTTTTAATTTAGGGTATATATACTGAAGCACAATCTTTATTTATTTAATATTTATTTTTGCAGTGGGGGGTCCTTTCAACAGAGAGGTGGGGATGTGTCATGTCATGTCCCTTCTCTCTATGTTATTGTTCCCTCCTGTCTACCCATGAATAGTGTGCTGTTGATGCTCTTTGGGATCTCAAAGTAAGCATATCTGGAAACAAACATTTTTCATATCCAGGTATTAAATGCATCCCCCCATCCCATACTACCTAACTAATAGAGAGAAAAGTTATTTTCCCCAGCACCGCCTCCCCTCTTGTAGCCTCAGGGAGCATTAAACTAATGATCCTTCTTTTTTGTAATAGATGTCTGCTTTGAGAAGCACCTTCCTGATATAAAATTCAAAATAAAAACACAAATCATCTGCCTCCTCCTCCACCAGCAGTAGAGAGCTTCAGCCCTACAAAGCCCCCATAGCAAAACCTATGCTATGCACTACATTTGTGAGCTCTAACATAGCATTCATGTTAAATTATAATTATTTATTGTTGTTGTTGTTATGATTGATGCTTTATGACTTAATAATTTACACTCTGATGGGGTGTTAACTCTGTAAGAATATACAAAATAAAAGTTTCAATTCAAGAATATAGGCAATTCTAACCTCCAACAATTTTGGACTTTGTTTTATGGCTCTCTATAGATGTATTTTGGAGGTATCAATAGAGAGATATATACTATTGCCTGAGCAATATGTAGTCATAGATTGAACATTACATTACAGTGAAAAATTAAAGCTTGCATTATACATATAAAATACATCTTTATATTAGCCCAATGCTAATTCAGACTGATTGTGTATGCTGCTAGAAGACTAATAACCTTCTAAATATATATTCTTGATAGCAATAGAATGATTGTTCTATAATCAGAAGACTAGTAAACAATACTATTCTGTTGGTGGGTCTTACCTCCTGAAGCCATCACAGGTTACAGAGAGAAGGCAAAGTAATAGTAGATGCTGCATGCTGGGATCTTGTGTCAGGAAAGCAATGATTTTCTTCCAGCAGTTTGGATTACCTCACCCCTGTGTTCTCTTATATCTGCACTGTTTTGAACCCAATCATCTGTGATTGGTGGAGTCTGACCAGGTCCCATTTCCCCTTAACCCTCAACCAAAATTTTTTCAATGTTAGATTTGACCTTTTTTTTTCCTTTCTCCTCCTCTTAAACAAACAAACAAAGGAGTTACAAACTAGACTTCACCATCCCACTCGTGGGAAGCTTTTGGAAAGGCTAATTAATAATAGTTCAGGGTGCCTGGTCCCTTATATAATCGATAACCATCATGCTTACCAGCACAAGTGAATTAACAGAAATACTAAGATCTGGTATTAAGAAAAGCAGAGATCATTAGCATTGTTACAGGGGTAACAGAATATTTTACAGTAATTTGTTCTTTTCTAGTATTTGTGTATTACAAATTATGTTTGTCTTTATTTAGTGTAACTAAAACCTATATCTGAGCTTTGACACTGTGTTTTCACCCGTATAAATATTTGTATATACACTGACACTTTCAAATATGTTGTTGAAAACTAGAATGCCATATGAAGACTCTCAGTATTACACAGTTTCCTTGCATAAGTTCCCACATCCACAGTCTTACAACCTGGGGTTAAAATTGATATTTTAACATCCATTCAGCTCTATTTACATCTGGTAGCAAAAAAACACAGCTTGAGCAAAAAGGGATTTTCGCTTCAAAAAATATATTTGCATCTTGTAAGTATGACCGTAATGTGCTTTTTTTCTTAAAGGTTTTACCAAGTCCTACTCAAATTTTACACACGTTGGACATTGATTTTGTCACTTGTGCTGTTATCCAGCATCTACAACCCTGGAGGAAGACCATTGTACAACGCTACGGAATTTGATGGCGCTATATAAATAATAAAATAATAATAAAGAGCAGAGAGCAAATTTATCAGAATACGGTACAGTTCCTCAACATGACCCACCCCCCTCATCCATTTACACCCAAAATACCATCCACGTACATCTATTAGTCCTAGCCATACATACCAACCCATTAATCCCAGACATACTTCAACATTCATTAATGCCACAACACCCATCACCCCCAGCCATCCAATATGCCTTATCAGAATACTGTGCAACTCCATTTACCAGCACCTCCAGCTATGCTTCATTGATTTTTTTTCCTTCCTTTTATTGTTACTTTCACTTATGGACTCAAGCATTCCATACATGTATTGTATGTGTTGGCGCGGTTTTGGGAAAGGGGATTTTGGGGCTCTCCCAGCGCCCTGGCTGACTAGGGCTCAGCTGTGGACTCTTGGTTTTAGCCCCAGATTTAGTGGGAGTTGGGGGGTGAGGTGGTGGAGCTGTCCTTTGTATACCGTATAAAAATGCATTTGTTGGGCCAATAAAATGGTACTTGTATAAGGCGAGAGAAGACAGCAAGCAACAAAACTTTATCATGACATTATCTTAAATAAGATGTTTTTTTAATTTTGGGTCCGCACACAAAGTGGGCTACCCATGCTGTTTCCGTGGATCCTCAATGGTTATAACTGGTGTACAATATTCATCAAAGTCCAGACGCTTATCCACAATATATTGTTTACAGTAGCAGCTCCTCCTTCTGTGATTCAATGTCGTTATCTTTGACACCAGGATCTGACTAATGTAGGGTTTTATAAGTTATGTATAATTACAATTTTAATAATATGTCAGTTTATGGGAGGCCGCAGATAACATTATTTTTTTTTATTTTTTTTATTATCTGTGACATTACTGGAGCAAATATTTAAAATCCTCTTTTAATGGTATACAACCCCAGTGATCTATGCAGGATAGGTTACAGACATAAAACCTATATTCACATGTATTAGTGTTGCACCATTATTGCTAAATTTTGGCAACAAATTAGGCCTTTATTAAGAATGGCTCTTTCTCTTGTCCCGGCCTATTGAGGGACTGCCCTGGTGCCCCAAAACCCCTTGCTGCAGTGTCTGCTGGATGGCTCAAACAGGCGATGCCCATTTTAAACGAAGTTAGAGGAACTGATTCATGGACCAACTTACAGCCGTATTTTGGTGAACTATCCTCATTTCTAAAATATGGTCCCCATGAGAAGACTTTGTTAATCCTTCTTAAGGATCACTATTCACAAATTTGGGTCCTCCAGCAATATTTCCTTTCCCCTTTTCATCTATTTTGTTTTGGATGCTTTTATTTTGGATGTTTTTTGTTTCTTTCTTTATTTCCATGTTACTGGGTAAACATGTTGGTAGCACAAATGGTGCACTACTTCTTGTCCGATACCTTTACAGATAAAAACTTTTTGTCTTTAACCACCCCACGCTAATTGTGGGCTTTTCTGTATTTGTCCACCACAATGTACATTTTACCAACACGGCTCTTTTGTGTACTATTATACCACTTTGTTTTATTTTATGTTTCCGTTATGTTTTATGGAAGTTATTTTGCTGGGATTTCATTTCACACTAGTAAGTAATGGGTTGCCAAGTTAAAATCATCATTTGAGCTTCTGTTGAAAAGGTTAAGAACCATGGACTAATGTGCCAACATTTAAAATATATTTGCATATTACAAAGTTATGAAGTCTTTGTTAGTTTGGTAGTGCAGCAGTGAATGAGTTACTTTTTCTGGCAGGATCTGCAGTGTCTGTGACCTGAGCCCTGTGTGAAACCATTTAGGGACTTTAAAAATCCTGATTGACCTGCCTGCTTCCATCATTGCCCACTTCTCCCTCCCATCTCTGGATGCTCTGCGCAGATTTAAGAGTTTAACCCCCAGGTCAAGAGAAAGAAAAGGCTTCTTATTGGCTTATTATTGCTTTCCCACAGTCTACCCCCTGTTGGTCTCCGTGTTGAACGTAACATAGGCTGTTCCCAAAAATCAAACAAGACTGGACCCTTAATACCAAGCTTGAGGGGCAAAGGCTGTAGATGGGAAAAGTGTGGGAATTAACTATGTACTGACAAAGGAACCAGTCTGTTGTTGTGTGCAATGTATTGTTATACTGGTACAGTAGAACACTCTTTATGGAACGTTATCGTCATTGACTGTCAATAATCAAAGACTTGGTTATATATATCTAGCATTTATATAACACCAACATATTCTGCAGCTCTTTACAATTGCATGAAGGGAATATGAAGAAGGCCATTCTTAAACATGCTTACAATCTACGAGGACATATTGGGTTTCTAGCTCATCGACACTTACTGGAAAGGTGGTTTGACTGGGATTCAAACCTGCTGTATCTGGTATGTTGTGTATTCCCTGGATTCTAGTATATACAGTTGTACTCAAAAGTTTGCATTGGAGAATTGGTAATATATGTACCATGTTTAAAGAAAACATGAGTGAGCAGGCAAAGCACATTTCTTTTATTTCTTATGGGATTCATATTTAACTGTAGGTTATAACAGAATGGCACAATCATAAAACAAAACATAGCAACAAAGAAAAAAATTAAATGACCCTTAGTTCTTAATACTGTGTATTGTCCCCTTTAGCATCAATGACAGAGTGCAGTATTTTGTAATAGTTGTCTGTGAGGCCCCTAATTCTTGCAGATGGTATAGCTGCCCATTCGTCTTGGCAAAATGCATCCAGGTCATGCAAAGTCTTTGGTCGTCTTGCATGAACCTCACGTTTTAGATCTCCCCAGAGTGGCTCAATGATATTAAGGTCAAGAGACTGTGATGGCCCCTCCAGAACCTTCACCTTTTTCTGCTGTAACCACTAAAGGGTCAGCTCGGCCTTGTGTTTACGATCATTGTCTTGCAAGAAAGTCTGAACGCGTCCCATGGGCAGCCTTTCTGCAGATTGAAGAATGCAAATTGTCTGTCAGTATTTTCTGATAACAGGCTGCATTCATGTTGCCATTAATTTTCACAAGGTTCCCCGTGCCTTTACAGCTCACCCCCCATCCCCCTCCCCAAAACATCAGTGAGCCATCAGTGGGGATGGTATTCTTTTCACTATAGGCCTTGGTGATACCTCTCCAAACATAGTGCTTATAATTGTGACCATAAAGCTCTATTTTGGTCTCATCACTCCAAATTAGTGTGCCAGTAACTGTGAGGTGTGCCAAGGTGTTGTCAGGCATATTGTAACAGTTTGTTTGTGGCGTTGGCGCAGTAAAGGCTTCTTTCTAGCAACTCGACCATGCAGCTAATTTTTGTTCAAGTATCATCGTATTGTGCTCCTTGAAACAACCACACCGTCTTTTTCCCGAGAAGAAGCCTGTATTTCTCCTGAGGTTACCTGTGGGCTTTTCTTTGTATCCCGAACAATTCTTCTGGCAGTTGTGGATGAAATCTTTCTTTTTTTTTTTTGTGTGGAAAATCTTGGTTTATTAGAGTACAGCAGGAACTTCTCAAGACACGCAGGTCTCCATTGTAAAAGCATTATGCCATATTACAAAGTGCCAGTTATAGTACAAATGTAATAACGTGAATAGCATACTTCAATCAGAGTAAGATTAGAAACTGGGCAAATTAAAGGGACACTCCAGGCACCCAGACCACTTCTGCCCATTTGAGGGGTCTCTGGGTGCCAACACCCACTACCCTTAACCCTGCAAGTGTAATTATTGCACTTTTAATAAACTGCAATATTTACCTTGCAGAGTTAAGTCCTCCTCTAGTAGCTGTCTATCAGACTGCCACTACAGGGACTTCAGTGTTCTTAGAACACGAAAAGTGTGTTATACAACGCTGGACGTCCTCACGCTATGTGATTTCCTCCAGCGTCGCTGAAATTCCCTTAGGAAAGCATTGAATAATGCTTTCCTTTGGTGAGGTCTAATGCACATGCCATTAGGTCTCCCCCGCCGACATCAGATAAAAGGTAAAGATATACGAGATACAGCCTCTCTCCCTTCAAATCCTACTAGACAGGCTTAGAAGAAAAATGAAAATGAAGTGAAACGATTACATCAACATGATGTCAAGAAAGTGAGATAAAACGTGAGGTGAAGTGCCCAGAAAACACTCATATCAAACAACCCGATGC